AGCCTCCGCTTGGTTTCCCCGATGTAGAGGAGGCCACAACGGGTACAGCGGATGCAGTATACCACATTAGCAGACGTGCAGGTGAACATCTGCTTGATGTGGAAAGTCTTCTTGGGGCCTGGGATGGGGGTGAGGGGGGAGGTGTAGGGGCAGGTGTAGCACTTCCTGCGGTTGCAGGGAAAAGTGCCGGGTGTGGTGGGGCTGGAGGGGAGTGTGGAGCGGACAAGGGAGTCACGGAGAGAGTGGTCCCTCCTGAAAGCAGATAAGGGTGGGGAGGGAAAATTGTCTTTGGTGGTGGGGTCGGATTGCAGATGGCGGAAGTGTTGGAGGATGATGTGTTGGATCCGGAGGTTGGTGGGGTGGTACGTGAGGACGAGGGGGACTCTGTTTTGGTTGGCCTACTAACCTCATCCCGCCCCTTTGACCTGTCCGTCCTCCCTGGACTGACCTATCTCCTCCCTACCTCCCCACCTACACTCACCTTTACTGGCTCCATCCCCGCCTCTTTGACCTGTCTGTCTCCTCTCCACCTATCTTCTCCTCTGTCCATCTTCTATCCGTCTCCCCCTCTCTCCCTATTTATTTCAGAACCCCCTTCCCCTCCCCCATTTCTGAAGAAGGGACTAGGCCCGAAACGTCAGCCTTCCTGCTCCTCTGATGCTGCTTGGCCTGCTGTGTTCATCCAGCTCCAAACCTTGTTATCTCAGATTCTCCAGCATCTGCAGTTCCTACTATATCAGAGAATATCACATTCACCTGAAATAAAACAAAGATGCTGGGAATCTGGAGCAAAACAGAAATTGCCGGGGAAGCTCAGCAGGCCTGCCCTGGACCCAAAATGTTAACTCTGTTTCTCTCTCCACAGATGCTGCCAGACCTACTGAGTTTCTCCAGCAATTTGTTTTTGTTTCACATTCACTTGTGATGCCCCTGTGATTAAAGCACACACCCGATATGCCCAGTTACAAGTCAATGATGGATCGTGGACAAATGCTTAATAAGAGGCTAGAATCACTGGCACAAGTAAGGACCAGCTCCTTCAGGAAAAGTGCGGTCATAGAAGCCCCACAGTGTGGAAGCAGGCCATTCGGCCCATTGAGTCCACACTGCCCTTCAAGAAAGCATCCCATCCAGATCCACCCCCTCTACCCTATCCCTGCAAGTCTGCATTTCCCATGGTTAATCCATCTAATCTGCATGTCCCTGGACAATATGGGCAATTTAGCATGGCCAATGCACCTAACCAGAGGATAGACACAGGGAGAATGTGCAAACTCCACATGGACAATCACAGGCTGGAATCAAACCCAGGTCCCTGGCGCTGTGAGGCAGCAGTGCTAACCACTGAGCCACAGGCCTGCCTGTGGGTCAGGCTGAGCGTTTGAAATGCCTCTCTAAATGTTAACTTTCCCATTTATTAATTGATTCATTTCCAGCCCGTGCCTCGTGAATACCAGAATGGCGATGGATTTGGTTACATCATCACGTTCCGAAAAGAAGGGACCAGGGAATGGAAGAACGCAAAGGTTCTGGGAGCTGATTCTTCACGATACGTTTACCGGAACGATACAATTGCATCGTACAGCCGATTCGAGGTGAAGGTGAAAGCCTTTAACAATAAGGGTCAGGGGCCGTACAGTCAGCCTGCTATTGTCTACTCTGCAGAAGAAGGTAAGGCTGCTGTTCCCATCCCTCTGAGGTTACCCCTGCTCAAGCCCTGAACTTCATAATTTCATTTACGACTAAACAGGGCAAACACAAGAAGGATGTTCCCAATAACCAAGGAGTCCAGAACAAGGGATCACAGTCTCGAGAATGCAGGGTAGGACTAAGATGAGGGGAAATGTCTTCACCCGGAGAGTGGGGAGCCTGTGGAATTGTCTGCCACAGAAAGCAGCTGAGGTCATAACATCAAATGTTTTCAAGAAGGAGTTAGATATAGTTCTTAGGATTAAAGGGATCAAAGGGCGTGGGGCAAAAGCAGGTACAGGGGACTAAGTTGGATGATCAGCCATGATCATATTGAGTGGTGGAGTAGGCTCTAGGGGCGGAATAGCCTACTCCTGTCCTCATGTTTCTATCATTCTTCCCCGTAATTGTAGATGCGCCAAACCATTTGGGTAATTTATTCAGAGAATTACAGCATGGTAGGAGGTAGTTTGGCCCATTACCTCTGTACTGGCTCTTTGAGAGAGCTATCCAATCAGTCCCAATCACATACTGTTGAGTGAGGAGAGATTTCAATGACAAGGCTTAGTTGGTGAGGCTGGAGTTGTTCTCCATTGTGAAGAGAATGGTGAGGGAAAATTTGGTAGTGGTGTTCAAAACAACGAGGGGTCTGAACCAGGTTGATAATTGAGATTCTAATTCCCATTGACAGAAGGGTCAAGAACTAAAGAACACTAGTTTAAGAGATTATCATTTAACCAGAGGTGAAATTGAGTAAAATATTTTTACTCAGCAAGTGGTTGCAATCTGGAATGTCCTGCATTGTGTGGTGGAGGCAGATTCAATTTTCTTCTTTTAAAATTGAGTTGTATAATCACTTTAACTGCAAGAAATGATTACAGGGCTGTAGAGAGAGGGTGAGGGAGTGAGACTAATGGAATTGCTCTGGCATAGAGCCAGCATGGGCAAGATGGATTGAATGGCCTCCTGTTTTGTAATCTTTCAATGATTCTTTCCCCATAATTCAATAAATTTCTCCTTTTCAGGAATTAATCCGATTTCCATTTGAATGGTGTTATTGAGTCTGCTTCCACCAGCCTTTCGCTGTACAGTCCAGGTTATAACTCTAAATGCAACACATGTCAAAATTTTCCTAATTTCCTACCTGGACTTGATTTAGCTTAAACCTGTGGTCCTCGGCCTACTGTCCTTTCTCTCGGTAGAAACAGGCTTTCTTTATTCACTCTGTCAAAACCCTGCAAAGTTTTGAACAACTTTACAAACTTACCTGTCATCTCTACCCAACAGAGAATGCTCCCAGCTTCCCCACTCTCTCCAGGTAACTTCCTGCTTCCCCAGTTTCTCAAGATAACTTTCCGTACACACACGGTACTTCTCCTGGTAACTTCCTGCTTCTCCAGTCTCTCCAGGTAACTTCCCGTACACCAAGGTTACCTCTCCAGGTAACTTCCTGCTTCTACAGTCTCTCTAGGTAGCTTCCTGCATATCAAGTTACTTCCCCAGGTAACCTCCTGCTTCCCAGTCTCTCCACATAGCTTTCTGCTTCCCCTTGGTTAGGTCCCCAGGTAACCTTCTGCTTCTCTAGTCTCTCCAGATAACTCTAGTTCTGAGGAAGGGTCACCAGACCCGAAACGTTAACTCTGTTTTTTTCCCTTCACAGATGCTGCCAGATGTGCTGAGCTTTTCCAGCAACTTTGTTTTTGTCTCCAGATAACTTCCTGCTATCCCCATGTTACCTCTCCTGATAATCTTCTATTGTTTCAGGTTACTTCTCCAGGTAACCCCTAACTGTGGGGTCTGGAACTAGGGACACAGTGTTAGAGTAAGACAGTGGGAATTTAGGACTGAGATGAGGAAGAGCCCTTTCACTAGAAGATGGTCTGTCTCTGGAGTTGGCTACCTAGAGGGCTGTGGAAGTTCATTCATTAAGTAAGTTTAAGTTGGAGATTAATAATTACTAATTATTCATGGGATATGGAGATAATGCAGGAATATGGTGGTGAGGTAGATGATCCGCAATGAATGGTGGAGAAAGCTCAAGGGGTTGAATGGCCATCTCCTGCTCCCATGTTCCTGACTGTGGTCATCCATTTCCAGCAAATCCCATCTGCATTCTCTCCAAAGCCTTATTATTCTTCCTTAAGAGTGGCTTCAAGACTTATGATGGATGATGAGTGCTGCTTCACCATGAGTAATCTTAACAAAAGGCAGTAAGATCAAATGGACACCAGTTGACTTCCATTGCCTCACACTGCCCTCAATTGTTGGCCAAGAGAGTGAATGTTGGAAATGTAAATTCCTCAATGTGTCCTGTCCACAGGCCACTTACTGTACAGTCTGATGGTCCACTAACCATCACACCTATCTCTCAACAAATTACTCACCAGTCTTTCTCCCTCCCCTCAGAACCGAGTGTTGCCCCCTCTGAGGTGTCAGCCAAAAGCCTCTCCTCTTCCGAAATCGAGGTGAGCTGGCGTCCTGTCGAACAGGTCACCATGAATGGTATTCTTCTGGGCTACGAGGTGAGCTGCTGATTGGTCAATCCCCTTGCCTGGGTGTTCTGTGCGTGCTTCAATGCAATTCGTGAATCACGAAGATGTAACTGATTAGATGACTCTTCTGTAAGGGGAACAACTGTGTGTTTGTGTGTGTGTGTGTGTGTGTGTGTGTGAAGGGTGGGGGTTGTGGGGCTGGGGGCATTGACAGAGTGGATTGAAAGCTGCTATTCCCCTGTGTTGAAGGGTCAGTAATGAGCAGGCATTATTTAAAGTGAAGGCAGGATGTTTCGAGGGGGTTCGAAGAAAAGTCTTTTCACCCAGAGGGTGGTGGGGATCAGCAGTGCACTGCCTGGCAGGGTAGTTGAGATGGGAAACCTTACAACTTTTCAAAAAGTACATGGATGAGCACTCGAAATGTGTAACATTCAAAACTAAGGGCCAAGTGCTGGAAAGTATTTTTTTGTCAGTGCAGACTCAATGGGCCAAAGGGCCTGTTCTGTACTGTATGATTCTATGATCAGGAAGAGGGAAGGCACCAGTCTGAGATAACATAGTGTGGAGCTGGATGAACACAGCAGGCCAGGCAGCATCAGAGGAGCAGGAAAGCTGACGTTTCGGGTCACGTGTACCTAAGTACAGTGAAAAGCTTTGTTTACGAACAGTACAAGCAGATCATAGTCATCATCATAGAATCCCTACAGTGTGGAAACAGGTCGTTCGGCCCAGCAAGTCCACACCAACCCCCAGAGCATCCCACCCGGACCCACACCCCTATAATCCACCTAATCTACACATCCCTGAACACTACGGGCAATTTCCCATGGCCAATCCACCTAGCTTGCACATCTTTGGAGTGTGGGAGGAAACCGGAGCACCCGGAGGAAACCCACGCAGACACGGGGAGAACGTGCAAACTCCACACAGACCGGATCATAGGGTTAAAAAAAAATCTAGACAGAGACATACAAGTTACATCACATAGGGTGTGTGCTAGGCAAGATCAACATTAGCAAACCAGTTGAAGTGAGAAGGAGCCTCAGGGTCAGTGTGTGTGCAGACACACACTGCTGCCTAAGTAATATCTCAGTGTGAAGGGGGCAGTATTAGCTGAAAGCACAAGAGACAGCACTGTACAGGGATGTTGACAAAAATCCTCCCGACCCTTTCTCCTGGAGGTTTCTCACCATGCTTCGGGCGAATTCACATAGCCGGAGCTCAGAGGAATTTCACAATGTCCTAAATGATAATGTAGTGCGTTCTCCCAATTCAAGCAGCCATTCTGGACAGTGATCATAATCTTTCACACACAAGTATAGAAGAGCGCTATGATTCAACAGGAATCCAGATTGTGCCACTGTGCCTCTGCACACGGATGGGTAACGTTGCTCCTGCTTGCTGGCAATTGTGTTACTGTATAAAACTGACAGCGAGAACAAAACAAATCCAGCCCCAAGGCAAAGACTGGATCCAACATCAACAGAAATCACTGACTCAGACAGAGCAATTCCCCAGAGAAAACAAGGTGTAGAGCTGGATGAACACAGCAGGCCGAGCAGCATCAGAGGAGTAGGAAGGCTGACGTTTCGGGCCTAGATCCTTCTTCAGAAAATCTATCTATCTTTGAATTCCCCAGAGAATATATCCAATGACATCAGTTACTGTGGCTGTCGGCAGTGTTATTTACATTTTGTAAACAGAGAACAGAGGAATATTGAAAAACAAGTTGGAAATACTACTTTTTATCTCAACATTATTGTGAAGGGACATCTCCAAAATTTGGAAATGACAGAAAGGGACCCGTCCCTTGTTGGGGACATTCCAGGGGAGTGTCATCTTTATGACAACCAGGTGCAGCTTAGTCTCGGAGCATTGACGTAACCCTTTCGATACCTGCCTGCTCATTGCTGCACATAGCTGTGGCATTGCCCAAACATGCAGTGGAATAATATCCACAGGGAGTTGATATGTTGCATGGAAACAGACAGGAGACTGAAGTTTATACCAAGGGCTGGGTTTTGTTGAGTCAGAGGTCTCTGGCAATTACATGGGATGTGAGTGTCGCTAAATGGGCCAGCATTGATGGCCCATCCCTAACTGCCCCTGGAGAAGATGATGGTGAGCTGCCTTCTTGAACTGCTGCAGTTCTTGGGATATAGGGATGATGGCGGTGCCATTTGGAAGGGAATTCCCAGAGGCTAACACAGCAACACTGAAGGAACGATGATATATTTCCAAGTCAGGCTGGTGTGTGTGGCTTGGAGGGGAACTTGCAGCCAGTAGCACTCCCATGCACCTTCTGACCTTGTCTTTCTAAATGTTGGTGGTTGCAGGCTTGGAAGGTACTTTTGAAGGATTAAGTTACTACAATGCATCTTGTAAATGATACAGACTGCTACCACTGTGTGACAGTGGTGAAGCGAGAGAATGTTGAAGGCGGTGGATGGGGTGCCAATCAAGTGGGATGTCCTAATAATACAATTGGAAAGTAACTCTTGAGGTGCAATAGTAATGTCCCTTCCTCTGCTCCAGAATGTCTGGGTTCAAGTCCCACCTCCCCCAGTCATGCATGATAACTTGTTTGAACAGGTTGATTAAAAATCAGACCAAAATTCATTTCCAGCATCTTTGTTTTATAATTCACTCATGGGTTGTGGGTGTCGCTGGCTGAGCCAGCATTTTCTGCCCATCCCTAGTTGCCCTTGGTCACAACTGAGTGTCTTTCTCAGCCATTTCAGAGTCAACCACATTTCTGTGGGTCTGGAGTCAACTTTAGGCCAGGTCAGGTAAGGACAGTGGATTCCTTCCTCCATGACACAAGTAAACTGCGTAGTTTTTTATATGACAATTGATTCTTCATTCCAGATTTGTTACTGAATTCAAATTCCACCATCTGCCATGCTGGGATTTGAACCTGGAAATCCCAGAATATTCTCAGAATTAAGGGGTGCCAATTTAAGACGCAGTGAGGAGGACTTTCTTCTCTCAGAGGGTTGTAAGTCTTTGGAACTGCTTGCCACAGAGCACTGTGGGGACAAAGTCCCTACGTATATTTAATGCTGTGATTGATAGATGCTTGGTCAATTGAGGAATCAAAGCTTACAGGGAAAGGCAGGAATATCAGATCAGCCATGATCCAATTGAATGGCAGAATAGGCTCAAAGGGCTGAACAGCCTACTCCTGTTTCCATTACTTAAGGTTTTAAACTTACCCAGGTCTCTGGATTACTAGTCTAGCGCCAAAGCCACTAAACCATTACCTCCCTTCACTGACCCATTCTACACCATGGCACACAGTCAGACTGACCCTCTGAGACGTTAATTTGAAACAATCTGATGCAATTTACCCAACGCTTTGTTTTTGACTCTGTTATTTTCTTCTAACCCTCCTCAATTTCTTTCTCCTCTGCGTTTTTGTTTTGTTTATCACCTTTCTCACCTCCAAAGATCAGGTATTGGAGAGACAACGATAAGAAGGCTTCGGCTGATCGCGTTAGAATGCCAGGGCTGGAGTTGTCAGCTCGTGTCCCAGGCCTGAAGCCCAGCACTCTATACCATGTGGAAGTCAGAGCCTACAATAGCGCTGGGAGTGGTCCTTCCAGTCCCTCTACAACTGTCACCACAAAGAAAGCACGTGAGTATAGAGCTGGTGTCTTCATATTAAAGCTTGTGCCAGAATTGAAGGCCTAATCTTCCACTCAAGTTAACTACTCCTGGACGTGAAATAGTCACTGATAATGGGGAGGAGTTTCCCGATGCTGAGAGTGGTTAGAATACTGAAGAAAACATATTGATTTGATTTTTTTAGTTTGATTTATTATTGTCACATGTAGCTAGGTACAGTGAAAAGTTTTGTTTTGCATGCAGTATAAGCAGATCGTTCCATACAAAGATCATAGGGTGATTGAACAGAGCGAGCAACACAAAGTTACAGCTGCAAAGAAGGTGCACAAAAAGCAAGATCGACATTAGATTTGAAATTTGAGAGGTCCATTCAGAAGTTTAATAACAGCGGGGAAGAAGCTGTTCTTGAACTTGTTGGTATGCGTGTTTAATCTTTTGTAACTTCTGGTTGATGGAAGAGGTTAGAAGAGATTACAAGATATTGCTTGACAAGGAATCAAGCAGTGACAAGCAGACAAGGCCACAATCAAATGAGCCATGATTTTATTGAATGGCTAAGCAGGCTAGTTGGATTGAATATCCTGTCGCTGTTATTTATTCAGATCTTATGAAAGTGGAGGGGAGACATAACCCAAGCCTTTCAAAAGTTTGAAGGTACGGATCAGGAATCCTTTATCTGAAAATCTCGGCACCAACTGGTGTTTGAATAAGGGATATTTTTGGTTTTCAGATAAACTTACCCCTATAGGTCTATTCAAGTCAATTTGAATCCATTGGTAAAAATCTTCACTTGGCCTAAACAGAGCTAAAAGCATTTTTTTTTACTGGTCCCAAATGAACTTGTTGACACACTGAATCAAAAAGACTTTCCCAGTTGGGCCAAATAAAGTTTTTTCCAAAGGGCCCAAGCCAGGAGTGTCCAAAGTATTGCTCAGGTTCACTTTTGAAAACACCTTTGGTTTTTAGGTCTTTTTGATTATCTGAAATGCAGATAAAGGATACGCAACCTGTATAAATAATGTGTGACTGGAGGATGAAATCTTAACATGACTGAATGCCAAAGGAATCTACAATGAAAGAAATATATTAATACAGGGGGTGTAGGTATCACTGACAACTTGGAGAACGTAGTGCCAAGCTGCCTTGTTGAATTGCACACTCACAGTGCTGTTAGAAAGGAACTTCCAGAATTTTGACCCAGTGATACTGAAGGAACAGAGATACAGTTTCAAGTCAGGATGAGTGAGTGGCTCAGAGGGGAACTTGCAGGTAATAGTGTTTCCATGTATCTGCTGCCCTTATCCTTCTAGACGGTAGAGATCACATGGATGGATGCCATCAAAGGTGCTTTGGTACGTTGTTGCAGTGCATCTTCTGTCCTGTACATTCAGTCTGTATTGTGCATAGGTGGTGACGGGAATGAAGTTGAAGATGAAGGCTGAGGTGCCCATTAAATAAAAACTGAAAGAACTGCGGATGTTGTAAATCAGAAACAAAAACAGAAGTTGCTGGAAAAGCTCAGCAGGTCTGGCAGCACCTGTGAAGAGAAATCAGAGTTAACGTTTCAGGTCCAGTGACCCTTCCTCAGATCTGATGGTAGCTAGGAAAGTGTTGGTTTATATGCAGGAGATAGGTTGGGGGGAGGGGGTAAGGAGTAAACGATAGGTAGGGTTAGAGCCCAAAGAGAGAGAAGAACAGTTGGACAGACAAAGGAGCCGATAATGATCTGGCTAGGAGGGTAAGTAGCTGTTAATGGAGACTGTTGGTGGCTAACAATAGGAAGTGTGTAATGGCAGGCTATGTGATAACAAGGCTTGGTGTGTGGGGTAGGGGGCTGAGTATTCTCCCCAGTATCTCAGGGCCCAAACATACTTCCCAGGTGAAGCAGCACTTTACCTGCACTTCCCACAATCTAGTCTACTGCATTCGCTGTTCACAATGTGGCCTCTTCTACATTGGGGAAATGAAGCCTAGACTGGGTGACCGCTTCACAGAACATCTATGTTCTGCTCGCAAAAACACCCTGAGCCACCTGTTGCCTGCCACTTTAACACATCACCCTGTTCTCTGGCCAACATCTCTGTCTCTGGCTTGCTGTGGTGTTCCAAAGAAGTTCAATGCAAGCTGGAAGAACAACACCTCATTTTCCGCTTGGGGACCCTGCAGTCCCCCCGAGACTCAATATCGAGTTCAATAATTTTAAGGTCTGAACTCTCCCGTGTCCCAGCCGCCTACCCCACACACCAGCCCTTGTTATCACACAGTTTGCCATTATTGTTAGCCACTAACAGTCTCCTTTAACAGCTATTCACCCTCCCAGCCTGATCGTTATCCACTCCTTTGTCTGTCCAACTGTTTTTCTCTGTCTTTGGGCTGTATGCCCACGTATCATTTACTCTTTATCCCCTTCCCCCACCCGATCTGCTTATAAACCAACATTTTACCAGTTACAGAGATAGTAGGAACTGCAGATGCTGGAGAATCCGAGACAACAAGGTGCAGGGCTGGATGAACACAGCAGGCCAAGCAGCATCATAGGAGCAGAGAGGCTGACGTTGCGGGCCTAGACCCTTCATCAGAAAAGGGGGAGGGGAAGGGGGTTTTGAAATAAATAGGGAGAGAGTGGGAGGCGGATAGAAGAGGGATAGAGGAGAGGATAGGTGGAGAGGAAACAAACAGGTCGAAGAGGCGGGGATGGAGCCAGTAACAACAAGGTGCAGGGCTGGATGAACACAGCAGGCCAAGCAGCATCATAGGAGCAGAGAGGCTGACGTTTCGGGCCTAGACCCTTCATCAGAAAAGGGGGAGGGGAAGGGGGTTTTGAAATAAATAGGGAGAGAGTGGGAGGCGGATAGAAGAGGGATAGAGGAGAGGATAGGTGGAGAGGAAACAAACAGGTCGAAGAGGCGGGGATGGAGCCAGGAAAGGTGAGTGTAGGTAGGGAGTTAGGAAGGGGATAGGTCAGTCCAGGGAGGACGGACAGGTCAAGGGGGCGGGATGAGGTTGGTCGGTAGGAGATGGAGGTGCGGCTTGAGGTGGGAGGAGGGGATAGGTGGGAGGAAGAACAGGTTAGGGAGGCAGGGACGAGTTGGACTGGTTTTGGGATGCGGTGGGGGGAGGGGAGATTTTGAAACTTGTGAAATCCACATTGATACCATTAGGCTGCAGGGTTCCCAAGCGGAATATGAGTTGCTGTTCCTGCAACCTTCGGGTGGCATCGTTGTGGCACTGCAGGAGGCCCAGGATGGACATGTCGTCTGAGGAATGGGAGGGGGAGTTGAAATGGTTCGCGACTGGGAGGTGCAGTTGTTTGTTGCGAACCGAGCGTAGGTGTTCTGCAAAGCGGTCCCCGAGTCTCCGCTTGGTTTCCAGTTACCATCAGTTCTGAGGAAGTATCACTGGACCTGAAACGTTAACCCTGATTTCTCTTCACAGATGCTGCCCGACCTGCTGAGCTTTTCCAGCAACTTCTGTTTTTGTTGCCAATTAAATAGGTGCTTTGCCTGGGTGATGTTGACATTCTTGAGCGGTGTTGGATCTCATCCAGGCAAGTGGGGAGTGTTCTATTATAGTGATAAAGTAATGATGTGGTCTCCATCTGCAGGTCACAATACAGAAACATGCACTGCCTACACACATTCCCCACTCACATGCATGCAGCACTCACACACATGTGTAAAGCTAACAGCCTTTAGAAGCAGAGCACTCAAAGCCCCTTAGACAGTTTGCATTCTTATAATAGAAGAAATTCATTCTCAAAAACATCAACTGCCATAACATGCTGTGAAGATTAAACATCTTAATCCAGAAAAGCATTTTCTAAACAAAAACAGAAATTGCTGGTAAAGCGCAGCAGGTCTGGCAGCATCTGTGGAGAGAAATCAGAGTTAACATTTCAGATTCAGTGACCCTTCCTGAGAACCACTACCTTCTCCAAGTAGTCAGGAATGCTCACATCTCTCCACAGATGCTGCTAGACCTGTTGAGTTTATCCAGCAATTTCTGAAGATATTTCTGACTTATAGCATCGGCAGTTCTTTCAGTTTTTTATTATTAAGCATTTTGTAAAGTCTGGCTGTTGCATTTTCACTGTGTCTTAGAACAAAGAACAAAGAAAATTACAGCACAGGAACAGGCCCTTCGGCCCTCCAAGCCTGCGCCGATCCAGATCCTCTATCTAAACCTGTCGCCTATTTTCCAAAGATCTGTATCCCTCTGTTCCCTGCCCATTCATGTATCTGTCTAGATACATCTTAAATGACACTATCGTGCCCGCCTCTGCCGCCTCCGCTGACAATGTATTCCAGGAACCCACCACCCTCTGCGTAAAGAACTTTCCACGCATATCTCCCTTAAACTTTTCCCCTCTCACCTTGAAATCGTGACCCCTAGTAATTGAGTCCCCACTCTGGGAAAAAGCTTCTTGCTATCCACCCTGTCTATACCTTTCATGATTTTGTAGACCTCAATCAGGTCCCCCCTAACCTCCGTCTTTCTAATGTAAGTAATCCTAATCTACTCAGCCTCTCTTCATAGCTAGCACCCTCCATACCAGGCAACATCCTGGTGAACCTCCTCTGCACTCTCTCCAAAGCATCCACATCCTTTTGGTAATGTGGCGACCAGAACTGTATGCAGTATTCCAAGTGTGGTCAAACCAAAGTCCTATACAACTGTAACATGACCTGCCAACTCTTGTACTCAATACCCCGTCCGATGAATGAAAGCATGTCGTATGCCTTCTTGACCACTCTATTGACCTGCGTTGCCACCTTCAGGGTACAATGGACCTGAACACCCAGATCTCTCTGTGTATCAATTTTCCCCAGGGCTTTTCCATTTACCACATAGTTCGCTCTTGAATTGAATCTTCCAAAATGCATCACCTCGCATTTGCCTGGATTGAACTCCATCTGCCATTTCTCCGCCCAACTCTCCAATCTATCTATATTCTGCTGCATTCTCCGACAGTCCCCTTCACTATCTGCTACTCCACCAATCTTAGTGTCATCTGCAAACTTGCTAATCAGACCACCTATACCTTCCTCCAGATCATTTATGTATATCACAAACAACAGTGGTCCCAGCATGGATCCCTGTGGAACACCACTGGTCACAGTTCTCCATTTTGAGAAATTCCCTTCCACTACAACTCTCTGTCTCCTGTTGCCCAGCCAGTTTTCTATCCATCTAGCTAGGGACCCAGGTTCGATTCCACCCTCGGGCGACTGTCTGTGCAGAGTTTGCACATTCTCCCCGTGTCTGCGTGGGTTTTCTCTGGGTGCTCCATTTTCCTCCCACAGTCCAAAGATGTGCAGGCTAGGTGGATTGGCCACGCTAAATTGCCCGTAGTGTTCAGGGGTTATAGGGGGATGGGTCTGGGTGGGATGCTTCAAGGCTCGATGTGGACTTGTTGAAGGGCCTGTTTCCACGCTGTAGGGATTCTTTGACTATCCTAACTGATGACTACTTCACTGTATCTTCACTGTCACTGGGTCAAACGCCTGGAATACCTTTTGTAAAATTCCTATTGACAGGTGTCGCATTTAAGGCTGAGTTGAGGAGAAATTATTTCTCTTTAAAGGTGTTGGAATGTTCTTCCCCTAAAAACATTTGAGGTTGGGCCATTGTATTAATTCAAGGCAGGGTTAACAAGGTTCTTGGTGGTCATGGGAGTCAAGGGCTATTGGGGACAGACATGAAAGTGGAGTTGTGACCCCAACCAAAATAAACCGTGATCTTATTGGCAGGATTTTACATTGATACTCAACCCGTTGAATGGCAGAACAAACTCAAAGGGCTGAACGGCCTTCCAAAGGGGAAACATGTGGGAAAATATCATATTTGGAAATGAATCTATTGGTCGTACGGAACCTCCGTTTTGAAGTGTACAAAATGGGTCTGACCAGTATCTCTTTTACAACAAAAATAAAAATTGCTGGAGAAAGTCAGCAGGTCTGGCAGCATCTGTGGAGAGAGAAATAAAAGTCACGTTTCAGGTCCAGTGACTCTTCATCAGCAATTTCTGTTTTTGTTTCAGATTTCCAGCATCCGCAGTTCTTTGTTTTGTGTTCTCTTTTGCCATGTTTACTGGATTTGCCTCCTGGGGCTATTCTTGCTCTCGAGACCTATCTTCCCAACAACACTACCCTACATGGGCTGCAACATTCCAAGGAGATGGTTTACCACCACCTTATCTGGGCTATTAGGGCTGGCCAATGAATTTTTTTTTAATTCATTCACGGGATGAGGGCGTCGCTGCCATCCCTAATTGCCTAGAAGGCAGTTAAGATTCAACCACAGTGCTGGCCTAGCTGACAATACTGATTAGCCTATTAGTGAATTTAGAAATGGCAAAATAAAATCCCATCAGGAATTTCCCCCTGTTCATATCAACCTCACTCATAAATGACTAAGCATTAGTCATGGGCTTCATATACTGTGAAACACCTTAGCGTCACCCTGGAACAAATGTGTAATGTTACTATCAGTTATTATTCTGGTTAGGGAGGTCTGTTCACATGCTGAAGGATGGGGGCATGTCTATTCCATTTTGCTCTTACTGTTCAGAATTACTACCTGCGCACAAGTAGCCAGTAGCGTATACACAGCCTGGGACTCTGGGTATCTGCATATGCAACTCACCTGCTTCTTTAATAAGGCATTAATTGTAGATGACACCAACGATTATTAGTGCCCAAAATGTTCACCTCATTTAGTTTGATTACCTGGAGAATTCCAAAGGTGCTTTGTGTACACTTGGTCCAGTTTTACCTTGAAGTCATGAGTTTAATTTTCCGCTCTTCTTGTATTCTCAGCTCCAAACCGTCCACCAGGTAAAATCTCCTGGAGGTCAGTGGGCTCCTGGGTCAAGATCAAATGGGATCACGTCAAGGCCTTTGAAAATGAATCTGCTGTGGATGGATACAAGGTAGGGATTTGGGAAATTTGATGTCAGCTTATACAGTTCTTGATCTTCTTTTTAATTCTCTGCCACAGGGACACAATCTCCATCCATGGGTAGGGTATTACCCCTGAATCCAACTCATCCAGAACAGAGCACTCAAACCCTGTGCTGTAGGTGCCAGTTTGATCCACACTGCTCACCCAGCTGACTGTACAAATTGACCCCCCCACCCAGAGTCTGGGTTGCTGTGGCAATGTACAGTTTTACAAACACATTGTAGCCTGTGGATAGTGATGGGAGAGACACCAGGTTCTTTCTCTCACACGGCTAACCAGGAATCTCTCCCGGCTCTTACTGCCTGCCTTGGTGTAGGGCTGAAAGGTTTTACAAGTTGATACCCAACCTGTTTAACTACATGCTAAACATATCTTGCTCGGCCATCAAGCCCTGGATTGAGATTTGAACTGGGTGTTTCCTGGTTCAAAGGCAGAGACGCTATCCATTGTGCCACAAGGTCAGCCCACTCATGGAAAAGATTCTGCCCTGTCGTTCCAGGACAATTTCTTCCAGTGATTCCAGTGGATAAGAAAGATCCCATACCACTATTTGAAGAAGAAAATGTCTTTCACTGTCCCGGTCAATATATATTCTTCAAAAACACACACACAGGCACAGACACACACAGACACATGCTCACACGCACACACACACACGCACACACATACACACACACACAGACACATGCATGCACACACATGCATACATACATGTGCACACACACAGAATCAACTTGAGAAATCGTTCATCACATGTGAAACACTGGAGGCAATTCTGTGGGATGTGCTACAGACAGTGTGATGAATGCAAGCCTTTCTGTGTAATCTAACAGCTATCCTAATAAAAAACTGTTTGTTATTTTAGGTGCTGTACAAGGCTGAAGACCAATCAGAAATCAAAATGATAGAAACCAGTAAGAACTCGGTGCAAATCCCATTTACCAACGACATGAGCTACCTGGTGATGATCCGCGCATCTGGAGAAGGAGGAGATGGTGCAGCTGCAAAGATACGAATATCGAAGAGCTCAGGTCAGCATGACTCTGTACTCTCTCCGAGCTTTGACAGAGACTTGAACTGAAAGATGAGGAGGTGGTGGCAGAGCCAGTGGGAACAGTTCGATCTGGAATCCAGCCCATTCACAGGCAGTGAAGCTCTCACCTCACAGCTATCACTTGTGCTCTTAAAACAAAAAAAGTTCTTTTCTTTTTAATTGATGCTTGGGATGCGAGAATCACTGGCAGCATTTAATGCCCTTTTCTAATTGCCCTTGAGCAGGTAGTGGTGAGCCACCTATAACTTGGTGACTTTTTAGGCCATTTCAGAATCAACCACGCTGGTGCTGGGCCAGACTGGGTAACCATGGCAGATTCCCTGAATGACATAAATGAGCCAGATTGTTCTTTAATGATAATTCAGTTTTGTATGGTCTCCATTACCAAGATTTGCTGATAGAATTTAAATTCCTCTGACTGTCAAGGTGGGACTTGAACCCATGTCTCCACTGCATACATCTAGGCGTCTGATTTACAAATCCAGGAACATCACCATTGCCCTACTATCCCTTCTGAATACACTTAATTTGGTTGTTGCTTACTGATACTAAATCTTCTTTTCTTCTCTCAGAGGAGAGTGAATCTGTGGAATTCTTTACCATAGAGGGCTGTCAAGACTAGTCATTAAGTAAGGGGACTAAAGATTATGGGGAAAAGACAGGAAAGTGGGGTTGGATATTATCAGATCAGCCATGATCTCATTGAATAGCAGAGTAGACTGAATAGCCTACTTCTGCTCCTACATTTAATCTCAGTAATTGACCTGAGAAAGCCCAAAGAGATGAGGCTGATCTGGTTCTGGTCCAGTGCTGAGATTCTGCTGAGATTTGTAATTTGAATTGCACTGTTGCAGTAAAGTAGAGGAATCATTCCTCAGTGATGAACTCTTATTCTGCTTCACTATGATTAACAAAGCAATATCGGTCCAGACCTTTTGTCTAACAGTTTATATCAAAACCAGGAGAACTGGCATCTCATAGTCCCTTGGGTTAATATAGCATTGCACTCGAGTCGCTCTCACAAAGAGCTAGCAGACGTTATGGGCCAAATGGCTTGCGTTTGCACTGTAACCATCATTCAACCGTAAGTGAAAGACTTTCCAGTGTTGGTGGGGTGAGGGTAGGGGTGAGGGGGAAATAAACCACACAGTATAAACAGGGAGCAGTTTGGTAGTGGGGAAAGGACAAGGTCGGCATGCATTGACTAAGTAATAAGGGTTTGTGTTTACCAGCTTTACTTCCTTCAAACTCCTGTGCACTGTCAATTGTAAGGAAGGTTTCCTTGCTAACTGATCCTCCAGGCATGACAGATATACCCTTACAGGCACATACAGCCTGACCCAAAGTCACAGTTGGAACCCTTGCTGTGACCGTTTCAGGCAGGATAAGATCAGTAGAGGGCTTCCCTGCTTTCTCATGGGTCAAGCTTTGTCAGAATTGGAAGTCCTCTTCGTCATCAAGAAATTAAGAGCAAAGTTGTCATAGCCCATAGGACCATTTTTCCATCAGTGAGACAGCTGGTGGTGGTTTAACCTGAGGGTCACAGAAGACAGTTCTTCGTGATACCATAGAACTCCTACAGTGTGGAAACAGGTCCTTCGGCCCAACAAGTCCACACCGACCCTCAGAGCATCCCACCCAGATCCATTTCCTATAACCAACCTAATCTACACACCCCTGAACACTACAGGCAATTTAGCATGGCCAATCCACCTAGCCTGCACATCTTCGGACTGTGGGAGGAAACTGGAGCACCCGGAGGAAACCCACGCAGACACAGGGAGAATGTGCAAACTCCACACAGACAGTCGCCCAAGGCTGGAATTGAACCCGGGTCCCTGGCGCTGAGAGAGAGCAGTGCTAACCACCGAGCCACCGTGCCACCCTCAGCAGGTGCAGAAATTGAAGTCATGCTGTTGACATTGAAAACCAACCAGTAGTTGTCTGGCCCAGCTGAGCTAACCTGTACTCCCCCAATTATTGTGAAGGCACAGACTCACAGCACAGGATTACGTCCGTGGATTGAAAACAGTAATGCATTTACAAAACAATGAGTATTTTAGACAAGGTAGTTAGGAAGAAACCGTTTGTCCCATTGGCTCAAGAACCAGGGAACAACAACTTGAGGTGATTGACAAAGATAAAGCAATGACAACATGAGGAAAAACTTTTTCACGCAGTGAGGAATTGGATTCTGGAATGGACTGACTGACATTGGGGTGGAAGCAGACTCACTGGTGAGTTTCGAAAGGGAATTGGAAGATCATCGGAAGAGAACATGCGGGTTTATGAGAGAAAAGGCAGGGGAGCAGAATTAACTGAGTTGCTCTCACAAACAGCTAGCACAGACTTGATGGACCAAATGGCACCTGCCTATGCTATGACCATTCTGTGATTCTACGAATCAAGTTGAAGGAGAAGGTGGGGATTAGGCGTTTATTATAACTGAGATATTAAGACACTTAGCCGTGGCAATGCTTTGGGAGGTTTCCTGGAATTTTGGTAAACTTCGTAAACTAATGACAAGAGTATTTCTGGGGGAATCAGGTCCACTTGTTTGTTCTTTAAGTAAATTTTCAGCCTGATTACAGGCGCCTATCAGTCTCCATCACTCCTTCCCCCCGGGTTTTGCTGATGTGTTTGTCTCTCTGTCTGCCTCACTGATGGACTCTCCTGGGAGCACAATACTCTTTGAGGGAATGTGTAACAGGCCCCAGACACGTTAGATCAACATTTCCACACAACTTTTTACCAACATGTAGTGTCTGCTGGGGGCCACTTTGCTTGCTTGTGAGCATGGGGGAGCTCATTGCAACCTTGAATCAGTCGCTAGGTTTAAGTGGCGGACGTCAGATGTTTGTGAGAAGCAGACTACTTTGCAAACTAAGCTGTAGCTCACCTGTGCCAGCAGCTGCTGTGAGCCCCAGTCGTAACCCTTTAACTGGGCAGAAAGTTCCAAGAGGGAGTGAACGTTAAAGTGGCAGGAGCATTTAACCCGTGTCATCCCACTTGCCTTCCCACCAGGTCCTGAAGTTAAACAGGTGGAGGGCACCCACAGGTAGGTAGCGAAGGCCTTTGTTAGATGCAAGGTCCTGATGATGTCAAGAGAGATCAGGGCCAGAAATGTTTGTTTAGTTCAAGACCTGAATGGGGCAAGGAGGAAGCGGTATTGGGAGAAAGGGGGAAGAGAGTGGGATTTGCAGGGAGTTGGAGAAAAAGAGGTGGGTGACAAGGAGCTATGGCCTCCCCATCAGGATAGATTCGCCAAGCAGAAAGATTGTATTCCAGGAGGGCTCTGTCTCATGTAAAGACAAAATACTGCGGGTTCTGAAATTCTAACCTGACATTGAGAATGCTGGAAAAACTCAGCAAATCTGTGGAGAGAGGATCAGGGTTAATGCTTTCAGTCCAGTTTACTCCTTCTTCAGAATGTTTCTTCACTTTATCTCAATCCTAGTTTTCCTTACAGACCAGCAGCTGAGAGTAACCTTTCCTTTACCTCCTACAAGGCAGCCACAGAGACTTCCATAACCTGGGATTTCCCCTCACCTGATCATCATCTCCCATCCCATCCCCCCACAATGCCAGTTTGTTCCCTGACTGCAGTCTCCATCCTGTGACATTCCACTCCCTCACACTGGCCAAGAGATTATATCTGACCAGGTTCAGGTAACTCTTGGTCAAATGTTTCAGGTGACCAGTACATTGTTGTCTCCATCACTCAAGATCACAGTTTATTTCTGTGTCAAAGAGATATAGGCAAAGTCACCATAGTCTTACCAAACCATAGGGCTGCTCTTTCATTACAGAGAAGTGACTAGTGGTGATTTAACCTGATGTTCACCACACCTCAGGCGAGGGGAGAAATTAAGAAGGAGAGTCTTTCATGGTAACCTAAGCCAGTGCAGGAATTGAACCCACACTTTGGAAATCACTCTGCATTGCAAACCAGCCTTCCAGCCAACTGAGCTAGAGATAAGGTTGATGGAGCCAAACAGGCTACAGGTTTAACTATCCCCTATAAGACCAGGCATAAGTCTGTTAATTGTCTTTTGCAGGCTAGGAGTTGATATAAAACCCAACAAAGGGCATAGGTTATCAATTTTCACCTCAAGCCCCTGTGCGCTATTGTGACAATGTTCATAACTCATTGAAAACAAAGAGGTCAACAACTGTCAGAATGGAGCACACAGGATCTTAACAACGGGCCTGGTAACATAGATTGGGAATGGTCCAAATGAAGGCTTGCATTGCTTGTGTCCCCATTGTGTGATAACCCAGGTTGATTCCCTCAATATAGATTTGTAGAGATCTATAGCGCATGAAGATGCCTTCAGCCCATTGAGTCCATGCTGGTCAAAAACAATCACCTAACTATTCTAATCCTGTTTTCCAGCAGCTGATTTGACCATTGCTGTGAAGCTGGGCCTGAAATGAAACACCTAATGTTAACTCTGAGCGAATAGGTTTTGAGTCAAGGGAAACCAATACATCAGGAATGGAACATGGGTGCCTCCTAATGTCCACGTAGCTCTCTCAGACACATGTGCTCACACAATGTACGCCTATATACCAGCTGTACCATATGGCCTCGCCAACAATTATCCAACTCACAACTTAATTTTACTAATCTCTCACTCCCAATGGGAAACCAAAGGAGCGTGAGCCAAAAATGGAACTGCAATGCCAAAGCACCAAGTCCCTGGCACATATGCACTTGGCACATACTTCTCTACACAAAGCCTGAAATTATCCACCTGCCCCCCAGACCCCAATTCTTTTAGATGCAAAGAAGTTCATTAGGATAGCCCCAAAAGTTGCTATATAGTCCCAGTGGCGGTGAGTAAGGAGATGCCATTGATTCAGCCAGTGCTGTTGGACTGGGACCAATCTGAACTACTCCGATGTTAACTCTGAGTGAATAGATTACGATTCAACAGCAAGCAAGACCCATGCAATCCATTTTTCACTCAGCGTGCAATGTGGCAAAGTCCTGCTGGAGCAAGTCTTTTGAATAATAATGTCATTCTTGATCTGCAGGCACCAGCATGATGGTGGAAAATTCAGGGGTAGAAGTCCTCCACAACTTCCTCTTCACTGCCATACTAACACTTACTACCATTGGCTGCCTGGAGCTCTGACTGCGACCACTCACCTGCATCGTTGCTGCACGCCATTTCCCAACGAAGGATGAGCCATCCAACACCAAACTGTTTATAGTATTAAAATGTGACATTTGTCTGACAATTTTAGGTAGAAAATTTCATACATTTGGTGACTGGGGAAAAGTCTTACTAGAGAAATGTGGAAAAAAAAAATTTTTTTGTAAAACAAAAATGTGTGAAACGCAGCAATGAAATGTTTTCATAATCAATTTGGTTTGAAGGTAGTAATCTGGAAGTTAAATTGGACAACAATAGACTGGAGATTGAGCTGTATAGAACAATCTTTCTTTATACTATGCACAGCACTGTACATTTGTATATACAGTACAATGCACAATCCAAGCAAAAGTTCTTAGTTACAGGGTTTCCAAGGCCCAAGAAGATTCCATGAGACACTAGCTACTTCGCAGAATGTATTGCATCCGTGAAGTTTCAAATCTCAATTCTTTTTTGGCCATTAGATCTTCAAGGTTTCTGGGCCTTTCCTCCCATTTACTTAGCCAGTGAACCTACTTGAATAATATTTTATCCCACACCCCACCCCATCCAAAATGTTAAATTACAAGGAGAGATTACAAAAATGAGGGTTGTATCACTTGGAATGTAAAAGATTCAGGGGTGATCTGATCAAGGCTGTCATATTATTAAGGGGAACCAGTAGGGTAGATAGAGAGAAACTGTCTCCGTTAGTAGGGAACCTAGGCCTAGGGCTGGTGGGTTTAGCCTGTAAATTAGAAGCAGATTTTCAGGAATGTAATTAGAAAATGCTTACACACACCTTGTGGTAAAGGCTTGGAACTATCACAAACAGCAGGTAGAGCAACTGTTACTTTTACAGCTAAGATTGACTAAGTTTTTACATCCAAAGTTGTTAAAGAGTAAGGGGCAAAAGTGGGTAAAAGAAGTTAGGTCACAGATCTGCCATCATCTTACTATAGGCCCGGGGGGCTGAATGGCCACCGCAGGTTCCTGTGTCCAATGGTATGAACCCCAACACAGTTTTCCATTTGAACCAATAGAGCTGGCATCCTTTGTTGACATAGTGATTCAGCACAATGGAAGACTGGTTTTGATGAACTGTGTTCATTGACATTTGAGCAAATGCTGGATATTTCTATGGGGTAGTCAACAGTTCCCTGTTGAGGCCAGAGGTGAAGGGTCTCTGTGGATCCCAAGTGGATGTGGACAAACCTAATGTTTGTTAGGCAGGGAAGTGTTAAGGGCTATGGAAACACAACTGTAGAAAGAGTTGAAGTACAAGTTGGAAAGGATCTAACTGAGTGATGGAGGGACTGAATGGCCTTATCCAGACCTGAGTCCCTTTCTTCCTGTGTGCTGGAGTGGTACAGCCAGCCCTGGTTCTCAAGCTTTAGGAACACAATGGAACAATCACAGAGTTGGCAATGTCAATTCGTCTGACACCTTCAACTCTCCCAGACAGAATCAGAGTCATTCATTCATCAGATTTATTAACCACAGATACTCTCTTGTCTTTGGACAATTGCAATGGGGGACATAGTCTGATTTTAACAGTGGTGTGGAGAAAGTGAGGATGTAGTAGTTTCTAACTGAATGCAGGCGGCCTAAATGGGCGACAAAATCAGCCAGTTTGGGTTTTAGGCTCTTGTGGTAAAATGTTAATGTCCCTACCTCTGAACCAGGAGGCCTTGGTTTAAGTCCCACCTGTTCCAGAGGTGTGTCGTAACATCTCTGAACAGGCTAATTAGAAAATATCACTCAGTTCAGGTTTGCTTACCCTCAACTACAAACTAAAGGAGCCATACTTTTAGACTTGCATCGTAAAGAGACCATTTTTTACATTTCTGATTACATGACACTATTACCTTGACAGCATCTGCCGTCCTTTAAAACACCTCAACAGCACCTTCCTTCAAAATGGAAGGCAGTTTAGCAACGAGTCGGGTGTTGACCTTCGAGATGTGATGTTTGGCACGCAGCCAATCAAATGACGCTACCAATACTGCAATGAAACAGTGACTGGACTACGGCCAGCATTGTAGTTTATAGACTGCTGGTGTCTGTTTCCATGTGCGGAAATGGTTGTCAGCTGCCACTGGGGAAGGGAGGGCAAGAATTATAAAGAGCAAGATTAGGTTATTATTGGGGTTAGGGTCAAATAGGTTAAGGTGAGATATGATGATGTAGGAAGGAGAAGAGTGGGGACATGGGACGGGAGTGCAGTGTATTGTTGAGTTGGGAAGAGACTGGTGATTGATCTGAGTGAGTGGAAGAATATCATAGTTAAGGTAGGTTTAGCCTGTAGCAGGAAGAGGGGAATGAGAGTAGCACATAGGGGAGATTTGTAGCATCTTGGTGGGTTTGATTATAGATTTGTACAGGATGAGGTCTTAATTCAAAACTTTTCCTGGTGGAAAGGTGATTATATGTTTAATTTATTTAATTTAATTGTATGTTACATTTGTTTTGGAGGTGCAGGAGCTAAGTGTTTGGGACAAAAGTTCAATATTTGAAGGACTTGTGAGTATCAGAATGTAGTGCTTTTCTTGGTCTGTCTCGGTAACTGGACTCTTAGTGCAATATGACCAGAGTTCCCCAGCATCAGGAGTTCGGTGGGTGGTGGGAGTGAACATTAACAATTACTGAATGGACAGTTTTACGTGGCTAATTATAATGGAGGAAAGACTGATGCTGTTGAGTGTGTGACATTCACAATGACACAGTGTCCCTCTTGTGAACATAAACAAGAACTCTCCTTTACCATTTTAATTGACCAGGCTTTAAATGAGCAGCTTTTGGAGGGGTTTGGAATATTCAGGTTGTTAAAGTGAGAGGCATTTCCAGATCACTGGGACTTCCTAGAGAGCCACATCCGCAGTTCTTTTGGTTTTTATTTAGAGAGCCACATGTTGCTCCAATCTGTCTACACAAAGTGGATGAAGTCGTAGAGACATTTGGAGAGTTGCAACGGTTACTTTTTTTCAATTTCACTTAATGAGAGCAACAGGGAAGTTAATGAACAGAACTTTTGGGAACTATTCTCCAAGCATCAAACTCCAAGCTAAGCTTCTGTCAAGTGAAGCTACACAATGGGAGCAGGGTCTCCTACACATTGATCCTTCTTGTTTCTTCGTAACCATCAGGAAACTGGAGTGCTTCCTGCTCACATTTCCTTTAGGGAAGGATCCTTACTTACCCAGTCTGGCCTCCATGTGTCTCCAGGCCCAAATGTGGTTGACGCATTGAAACGGCCTGAGCAAATCACTCTATTCAAGGGCAATTAAGGGATGGGCAACAAAGGCTGATGTTGTCAATGATGCACACATCCCACGACAAAACTTTTTTTAAAAATCTCTCAATGATAAAGCGTGAGCAAGAGAGAGAGAGAGACTGACAAGTTTTCAATACTAAAGCAATCTGATTATAACAATGTTATGATTAAAGGAAAGGGGTTGACTTTTGTGTTTGGGAGAGAGAGAACAGTACGCACTGAGCTACGGACTGAGAAAGGAAACTGAAAATATTGAGGCTGTTTTCATTGTTGGATCAGACATGTTAAGCAACACTCAAAATGCCTCTTTGAGTCAGAAATTACATGCTATTATTGGACCAGAAATTTAATTCCAGGTTCTATGTTGAGTTAGCAGTTCTCGACTATAGGGTCAGGAGAGGGTGCGACATCAAAGTCTTAGGATAGAGATGGAAGAATCAGAATTCACCTTGTGGATCAACAGGCATTAATTATTGGCAAATGAAGGAGCACAGGATTGAACTTAACTCTAACATGCTATGCATTTATGCATTACCACAAGAGGTCTAAACCAACTGAGGGACTTTGCAGTGGGGGAGGGTCTAGAACATAGGGGAGAAACTTGGACAAAGAGTTTAATCACTCCTCATGTTCCGTAAGCAACCGCTCTCCACCCATGTGCACCTATGATCAGGGCTAAACTTAAAAAATGTGATTGTGCTTTTGTTAGTGGTACTGTCAGTGAAATTAATGTGTTGGTGTTCAGGGCTAATTCTGTCCTTATAACTGCACTTCCCAATCACATTAACCAAAAAAGCTAAATGTAAATATTCTGCCAGACACAGAATGTAGAATTTACTTCTATTCCAAGGGTAGAAACTATGACTGTTTTTTGTGAACGCCTAACACAGGGAGGGAAGAATTTGATTTGAAATGGTTGTAGTCATCTGTAACCCTTCTTAAAAAGTAAACTTCTGAAGAGCTCTGAAAATCTTGTACCATTGTCACTTTGAGTAATGTCACTCTGTGACAGTCCACCCGATTAAAAAGAAGTCATTGATGTCCTTCTTGTTAATTGAACTTTAATATAAAATCCAACAGATAAAGAATGTAAGAATGTGCACATCAGAGTGTTAGGTGACTGTGCCTATTCATTTCATGAAAACTACACTTCAGGGGTGCCATATCCTACTCCAAAACACTAACACACAGATTCCATCCTCTCAGCATGCACTCCTACTCAACAGGTCTCTCACTCCTGCCTTCTCTCCCAAGAAAACAAGTTAGCATTTAAGTTCCGTGTTGGAATTGTTACAGGAACAACGTCAGTGCCTTGGAAGCCTTTAGAGTAAGTGTTTCTGGCTCATCATTAGAGTGTTGAGACATCAAATTACTCTATTAACAGTGTTGCTGTGAGAGGAGTGAGGACAGAATTGTTAGAGAAGCTATTCTTCAGAGAATAAATAAGTTGAGGTGCAATCTGCCTAAGCCAATCATAGAATCCTATCGCAGAGCAAACTTGATGGACTGAATGGCCTAGTTCTGTTCCTAAGTCTTAGATTGTTTTGAAGGGAAGTGAAGTTCACACAGATAAATGGAGTTGGGATCCAGGTCAGCAAATATCTAATTGGAAGGACTCAAGAATGATCTTTTTGTAACTTATGTCCCTATTCTGCAACTGAGGCAAACTGGAGACTAGATCAGATCTTGGGCTGGAGGCTGACTTGATGGGAGTATCCCATGTGATAAAAGCCAATCACAGACTCTTGGGCTACCACCGTTCACACTCATAAAGAAGATATGCAGTTAATTACAGTTCCAATACCTTTGGGTGTTAGGAACTGGAACTGATGGAAATGTGTAAATAAGTTCACTAATTACAATGAATAAGATTTACTTTCTCTAATTAATGCCTCATATTAAATGGAAAAACAGTTGTACCCACATCTGTGATGCTCACAGGGAGTTCAACACTTCCACAAGAAAACTGAATGTTTCTGTTGCAGTTTGAATGAATCATCTTCATATGCTCAGAATATCAGACACATTAATGTACTATATTGTATTTGATTTATAAATAAAAGCCTGGCCTCCACAACCTCTTCCTAATAAAGTATTACAAAGACTTCCAAATGGGTTTGAGTGGAATTTATTCTGAAATCATCTCCGAAATTGAGGACTCTACCATCCAACATGCCTGAACCATTTTCACCTTTGCCCCCAGCTTAATTCCAATACTCTCAACACCCTATATCTTGTCTGCCAATGTAGAATCGTCATATCTATTAGACATGTCTCCAGCTCCTTCAGTCTCCTGCAGCTCAATTCATCACTATCCAACTGATCTGTCCTGGCCCCATATTCACTGATATTACTCCAAGAATGTTCTTCCCACCAAACTCCTTCAAAATTACTGCCCAGTCCAATCTTTTTGTTCTTTCCAGTTAAAGTCACTGTCGTCCCATGAGGCTATGGGGATGGTTTCCTATGAAAGAGAGAGAGATGATTAGCAGTGGTTTAACCTGAGAATCACTACGCCTCAAGCAAGGGGAGAGGTTGAGAAGAGTCATTCGTGGTAACGTAGGGCAGTGTGGGAATTGAACCCACATTTCTTGGTATCACTCTACATCACAAACTGGCTGCCCTGCCAACTAAGGCCCATGGGGTTGCCTTCTCATCAGAGAAAAATGACTGGTGGTGGTTTAACCTGAAGGTCACCACGCATCGGAAGAGGAGAGATATGGAGAAGGAGCATCCATCATGGTAAGTCAGCCAATGACAGAATTGGACATTCGTTTCTAACCTCACTGGAATTCCAGGTCCTGGAATACATCTTTGATGTCCAGATCCATGCATTATTTGCCCAAATCTCCCTGTTGGAAGCCTTCTGGTTAGGATTCCATTCTGCTAATAATTAGTATCTAGACCATTTTTATTAGTTATTGAAGCCACTTATTGCAGCTGTGAGCTCTGAACGGCATGTTACTTAACCCTTACCAGAGCTCCTCAATGTCTCTGCACCTTTCCATAAATTTAGCCAACCATATGACCCCATTGCCTCTTTCTTCTCCCAGAACCTCCCCCAGGGGGAGTGGTGGGGAACAGGCAAATCCACCCCCAACAGTCTCCAAAATGCCCTAGACAATCCATTCACAATTGGGCAGCCAATCAGAGGGAAGCTGACCACATAATTAGACTGGCAAGAAGTGGTGAGGAGCTGCTCCTCCAATCACAGGCTGGTTCCCACCCCTGCTTACTGCTGATAGGTTCACTACCGCGTCAAATCTCACAATTAAATCTGCGATGTGGAGGTGCCGGTGTTGGACTGGAGTGGGCAAAGTCAGAAATCACACAACACCAGGTTATAGTCCAACAGGTTTATTTGAAAGCACAAGCTTTTGGAGCTCTGCTCTTTCATCTGACGAAGGAGTAGCACTCCAAAAGCTGGTGATTTCAAATAAACCTGTTGAACTATAACCTGGTGTCATGTGACTTCTTATATTTAAATCTACAATTGAGATTTTGGATTACATCTGCCCTGTTAATGTTTCAGCTTTGCCCACGTGCAGTGAGTAAAATCTTTGCTAGAACCTCAGTGGATGCAACATCTTGTGTGTAGAAGTGTGTATACCATCTATTCTGAAAAAAACTTGTGAATTTCTACCTGTTGTCCTCTGTCAATAGAAATCCCATGGTGTCTCGGAGATTAATGCTTTTGTTATGTGACTTGACAGCAAGTTTAATGAATCTTTGTTAATTATTGAGGATATTGATGAATTAACCTCATTCTGCCTTGTGTGAGTCCAAAGCTCCCATTTGTCACAAATAAAATGTATTGTAAATATGTCACCGTTTCACTTAATAAATGAGTTGGTGAGAAAGGAAAAGTAGTCCTTGAGAAAATCTCAAGAGAAGCCCTTGAGAAGAAGGATCACTTCAAATGCTTTACAGACACAGGTTCATATTGGCTGGAGGAATTTAAAGTCAATTAATAAAGCTGAAATATTAAGCTGGTCACAGTAATGATATGGTGCCATCACTGATTGTCAAATAAGCCCATTTGGTTCACTTAAGGGAAAGAAATCTCTAAGGGAAGGAAATCTTCTGACTTTACCTGGTCTGGCCTACATGTGACTCCAGATCGACTCTTAAGTGTGCTTGGCATTAGCCTGGCAAGCTAATCAGGTTCAAGGGCAGTTAGGGATGACCAACAAATAGTGGCTTTGCCAGTGATGCCCAGATCTCTTGAAAGAATAAAACAAAATTACAACCCCTATAGTGCAGAAACAGACCATTTGACCCAGCAAGTTCACACCAACCTTCCAAAGAGCATCCCACATAAACCCAGTTCCCACCCTAGCCCCATAACCCCACATTTACCATGGCTAACCCAACTAGCCTACACATCCCTGGATAATTTAGCAGAGCCAATCCACCTATGCAGCACATCTTTAGACTCTGGGAGGAAACCAGAGCACAGATGCAGGGAGAATGTGCAAACTCCACACGGGCAGTCACTCAAGGATAGAATCAAACCCAGGTCCCCAGCGCCGTGAAGTAGCGATACTAACAATTGTGCCACCATATGCTACATTTAGCCAAATGGCGGGTCACCTTTTCAGGGGGCAATTTGTGACAGGCAATAAATACTGTCCTAAACAGCAGTATCCACATCCCACAGATAAATTTAGGAAAAAACAACTTGCACTTATACAGCTTTAGGAAACTCTCAGTGATGGGAGAGATAAATAATAAACTTAGTGCAGTGGCAATGTAGATGCTGAGCCTGCAAATAATATTTTTCAGAGGCCATGGGGAAGGTGCAGTTTCAGTGACAAGGGAACTGAGTTCATGGCAATGAGTACAGACTACAGTTCTGCTCACCCAATATTAGATGTTTGACAAGCAGCCTAACATTTACAGAAGGTCTTGCAGGAATTCAGCAGCAGATCAAAAAGCAAAGTACATTTTTTTTAAGAAAGATGCATCCCTTTGCATCAAGCAGCAAAATCCAAACTCACACAGCTTTTAAACATCAGGAAGATCTTCTGATTGATCTGGAGTTTTCATATCTTCAGCATATCAGGTAGACAGATCACGGATCAAACTTAAGTGGATCAAACAATACAGCAAAGGAAGATTTGCATTTACATATTGCCTTTCACAGCCTCGGGACATCTGACAGTGTTACACAGCTAACAATTTGAAGCTCAATCACTAATTTAGGAAACATGGCAGCCAATCTGTGCACAGCAACTTCCCATGTGTGTTAGTAACCGGCCAATCTGTGTTTTTAGTACTGTTGATCAAGAGATAAATGTTAACCCCATGATGCAGCAGAGAAATGGTCCCGTTTTCAAAAGACTATCTGTGGAATCTTCAAATGTGAACCTGAGAGGGTATCAGGGGCGCTCAGCTTAATGTATGTGAAAAGTCAAGGTCTTTCCCCCCAGGTAGGGGTATCTAAAACTAGAAAGAATAGGTTTAAGGTGAGAGGGGAAAGATTCAAAAAAGACCAAAGGGGCAACTTTTTCACGCAGAGGGTGCTGCGTGTATGGAATGAGCTGCCAGAGGAAGTGGAGGAGGCTGGTACAATTACAACATTTAAAAGGCATCTGGATGAGTATATGAATAAGAAAGATTTAGAGGAATATGGGCCAAATGTTATCAAATGGGACTAGATTTATTTAGGATATCTGGTCAGCATGGATGAGTTGGACTGAAGGGTCTATTTTCAGGCTGTACAGCTCTATGACTCGATGTAGATTGGACGCTGGTTCTAACAGTGCAGCCTTCTCTCAGCACTGTCATTGCAAGGCTCCATCGGTATTCCCACTGTCAGAATTCAGACTCCATCCACTCAGAATTCCCCTCAACGACACACACTTGAGCCAAAAACACGTGGCTCAGCTCAGGATTTATTTTTGTTACACTGTGGCTGGGGGCTGATGACCTTGTTTGTTATTTCACCAGCTCCCTGGCCTGCAGAGTCCTCTCCACAAACACACAGGGAAGCTGCTGAGGTCAGCTCACTGTGATGAAGTAGCCCCAAGGAACAACATCATGTGTTTGTGCCCCAGGCCACCCAGCTCACTGAGCTTTGAGCGTGGACACACAGACACACTTACAGATTGTAATTCATTCAGCCTCAGGTAGACCCTCTTGCAACTGTCACTCAGGCAGACTGCAGTCTCTTGTAAATACACACACTTCCACATGTCACTATCTTCCAGCAGCTTTTTCCAACAGCTAGGTCTCCATCTCTCTCTTTTAAATTGGACTGTGTAGGTATTCATTATCCAATTGAGCAAACACCAAAGCTATAGTATAAAATAAATAGAGGAACAGTGTGATAAAAACTGATCACAGGACTCACATTTCAATGTCAACAAGGAACCCGCAAGAAACATAATTTAGAAATGCTTTGGGGGTAAGAGTATACATCTTGCCTTTCCTGCACAGTCTTTGCAGCCATAACTTTGTATTTCTCGCTCTGCTTAATCACCCTATGATCTTCATATTGTATGATCTGCCTGTACTGAACACAAAACAAAACGTTTCACTGTTCATGTGACAATAACAAATCAAATCAAATCAAAATTGAAAACAGCATCAAACAAAAAGATTAAAAGAAGACAAGAGACAAGAACAGGCCATTCAGCCCAACCAGTTCATTCCAGTGTTTATGCTCCGCTGGAATCTCCTCCCTCCTCATCGGGATTTATCATTGTAATCCTCTATTCCCCTCTCCTGGATAAGCCTTCCACTTAAATGCATTGATACTATTTGCTTCAAATTCCCCATGGTAGCACATCCTACATTTTCACCACTCTTTCAGTAAAGACATTTCTTCTGAATTTCCCATTGGATATGTTGATGGCTGTCTTATATCAGCAGCTTCTAGTTCTGCTCTTCCCCACCAAAGGGAACATTGCCTCTGTTTCCACACCATCAAAATCTTTCATCATTTCAAAAGCATCTATGAGCTCACCCCAGAGCCTTCATTGCTCAAGAGAGAAGAGATGCAGCCTGTCAATCCTTTTCTGATACTTCGACCCAGATATTTATAGAGTCATACAGTACAAAAACAGACCCTTCAGTCCAACCAGACAATGGTGACCATATACC